AATAATGAAAAAAAGTCATAGTATAGTATGTTGTCAACAATAATGAAAAAATGTCATAGTATGTCGTCAAAAATCATCAAAAAAAGTCATAGTATAGTATGTTGTCAAAAATGATGAAAAAAAGTCATAGTATAGTATGTTGTCAACAATAATGAAAAAATGTCATAGTATGTCGTCAAAAATCATCAAAAAAAGTCATAGTATAGTATGTTGTCAAAAATGATGAAAAAAAGTCATAGTATAGTATGTCGTCAAAAATCATCAAAATGTCATAGTATAGTATGTCGTCAACAATAATGAAAAAAAGTCGTAGTATAGTATGTCGTCAAAAATCATCAAAAAATGTCATAGTATAGTATGTCGTCAACAATAATGAAAAAAAGTCGTAGTATAGCATGTCGTGTGTTTTGGAGAAACTGACAGCATATTTTGAAAAAAGTATGAAAACTCTAAATATTTGAAACATTTACATGCACCAGCTCAAAGGAGTCAAAAGAATCAGTCTGCCCATCACTACTTTTTACAACCTTCCATATGCAGCTGCTGTATTTCCAAAGACTGGCTGTTGTCTACAGTGATGCTAACAGGATGAGGACACCTGGAAATGGTTCCAGGAGCCGGCTCTAATGTCCTGCTCCACATGCTGATGGGTGACAGCAGGGACGGAGCTGCAGGACTCAGTGTAACTGTAAAACCACTGCATGACTTCTTCCCACGCACTCTGCTTCTCTTTAAAGTCCAACATCCCTTCTGTCCTTCTCCACTCTGCCTGTCTCTTCATCTTCTTCTCCTCTTAGTCTTTCCCCACAACCCTCCTCCTCATCACTGTCCCTCACAGCTGATTGGTTTTCCCTCCCATCTTTCTTCCTCTTTACCCTACCGAGGGAAACACGAGTACGGCGGGGGCTAAGGAATCAGGACTCAAGCTAACAACAGATGGCCGTGAGAACATAGCTTACATGACAGCACACACACACACACACACACCGACACACACACATACTGTAGGCACTGATGCACACACAACCACCACGACCACCTGCTATTTAAATATGTTCATCGGTTCATCAAGCTTGAAATCATTATACCATGAGACATGAACTTAAACGTGGGACCGCACACATACACGCTCACTCTACAGTAAATAACAGCTTACTGTACATGGTGAGAGCTCAGATTTCACACTTCTTGTGCCGAGCTGGTCCACCCACGACATGCACACTGCTGGGCACCTGCCAGCACACACACACACACACACACACACTGATATATCGAGAGTTCTGCTTGCCTCAGGCGCACCTACAGTACCAACCATCAATTGAGAGACATCTATCTCTGCAACAGAAGAAAAATACTGCAATGGAAGAAGGAGGAAGAGGAGCTGCAACTAAAAGGAGTGAATAACGATGGACAGCAGGTAGCAGATAAACAAGAGAAGGACAGGATCTCTCTCACACACACACACACACACACACACACACACTCTCACACACAAGATTTCTTGTTCACAGATTCCTACAAGATCAAGCCGGAGATCTTCCATTCACACACTCACCGTGTCGTGGCTGCATCCAAACACTCGCAGCACGGACGAGGCCAGCTGCGAGAGAAACCGCTGGGACATCTTGATGTGTGTGTGTGACTCGTGTGTGTGTGTATGAATATATAGTCTGTGTGTGTAGAAGAGTGTGAGGGTTGTGTTTGAGGTGACTGAGCTACATCATGCTGCCGTTAGATGTTGATTTGTCTGTGTGTGACTCATGTTTGTATCAGAGAGGGAGGGAGGACTGAATCTGTGGGACTTTGGGAATGTCCTACCTTCCCCTCGCCTTGCCCCTCCCCCTTCCTGGTTGCCGTGGCGTCGTAAGGCGGCGCTTCGTGGAGTGGACAACCCGATTGGCTCGATGTCCGAGAGGAGCCTGCGGAGCCTGCCAGGAGAAACACCATTGGCCGGTGTCAAGCTGTAGCCCTATCACGGGTAAACTTTGGATGGATCAACAGATGAGTGGACGTGTCTTCCAACCTGACCTCTACCCTCCTCCGCCAACTCACTCCTTCTGTCAGTTTTCTTTACTGCTGTGATAAGGAACCAATCAGATCTGTGCTTTCCAACATAAAACAAACCATCTTAACCAATCGCACCCTGCTACACTTCCTCCTACATCCCCTGCCTTGGCCATCTGTCTGTTCAACCAGCCAAGATCTGTGTGTGTGTGTGTGTGTGTGTAGAAGTGATATAATGACATTTATCAAAGGACCAGTGGTTTATGACTCTCATTTTTCAAACACGACTCTCTTCTTCCCTGGGTTTAATCTTTATACCTCTACTTCAAACACCCTCCCTACCTCCTCCTCCCACGCCCCCTCGCTCTCTGCAGTTTAATAAACTCTGCAGGTTTTGTTTCTATGATTCATGAGCTGAAATCCTCAACACAGTGAAACAGTGACTGGGCTGCAGGAGGGTCACCCTGTCCTACCTGGAGGCTGGTCCACAGACTTGGACTGCTCCAGTAGGTGCTCCTTGGCTTTGGCAGACTGGGACAACACTGTGGCAAGAAGCTGCAGGTGCACAAACACAAAAGCATCCACATCAACAGGCACGTCGTTCAAGTTTGTTGCAATCAAAGCAGAAATCTTTTGACAAACATGCACAGAACTTTCAGTGTTTCACTAAGTTCACCAGCTAGTAGTCAGTGACTTTTCTGGTTTTTGGTGCTGGGCAGAGGTTTATCACACGGTTGATGGAAGCAATGAGAGTTTTAGGTTGTAAAAACCAAAACAATAAGCTAAAAGCTCCACAAAGATGAGAGGAGCTGCAGAGATGGGTGATAACTCTCCGTAAGTCTGTCACTTTCACATTACACACAGTCTGGCTTTAATGATCGTCTTTTATTCAGATATTTTGGTGAACAAGTTAATGTATCTTTGGCTCAACAGTGGCCTCTGTGGTCACAAGTGACAGTTACAAGATAATGGGAAAGTTCCCTTCAAGTTTTCTTGAGCCATTTGTATTGAAAGTCACCTGACGATTTTTGACCTTTTATTTTAATTTATTTTAATTTTATTTTTAGCAAACTGGACTATGACATTTTTCATGATATACTATGATTTTGAAATGATTTTTAAAATTCCATATATTATGAATTTTTGTCTATGAATATTTCTATGACATACTATACTATTTTTTCATAATTTGTTTTCACATACTATATTATGACTTTCTTAATCATTTTTTTTGAAAAACTATACAGTGAGGTTTTTTTTACAATTTTTTTTTTCACATACTATACTAACACTTTTTTTATGACGTTTTTGATTAAATACTATACCACAACTTTTTGTGATTTTTTTCCCCCCACAGACTATGACTTTTTTAAACAAATTTTTTACATACTGTACTGAGACTTTTTTTTTAAAATTGTTTTTGACATACTATACTATGACCTTTTTATTAAATTTTATGATATTATTCAATGACCTTTAAATGATTTTTTTACATGCTATACTATGACTTATTGTTATTATTATTACTATTATTTGGACATACTATACTAGGATTTTTTTTTTTTTTCAGATACTATGTTATGACTTTTGAATATTTTTTTCCTACTATATTACATACTATGACTTTTACCTCAAGTATACTGTGATTACACCCAAGATGGAACCAGCAGCAGGAAAACGTACGTGTACTTCTTGTTTTACTTTGGTGATAAATCCATTGAACTGTTAGGGCCGTTTCATAGTCGGCACACACAACGTGAGCAAGCGACGCTAGCAACGCACTTCCTTTCATAGTCAACACATTGAACGCAAGAGACGCTGACGACACTTGAAATGCAATACATCACTCAAGCAATAGGGGGTAGCAGAGTTACCGGTACATTCCAGCTAGCTAGTACTGCTGTAGCTAGCTAGTACTGCTGTAGCTAGCTAGTACTGCTTATTTTATTAGAGTGCAGGGCGCTAGAACTCTCATATAAATGGGGGTGTGTTTCCTCCTTGCCCGCCATATTTCATACCTGCTTCTTCTGTGAAACAAAAAGTGGTTAATTTCAAGTACATCGGTTGCATTATCACCCCTGCTGGCAACGCATGGTATTACACGCGTCGCTGCCTAGTGTATCAAAAAAATGGACAACACATTTTGAGACGCAAGCACACATCATGGCGGCCAATGCGTCTTGATGCGTCCCAATGCATTCATGTCTGCATGACTCAGTAATGTGAGTTACACACTGATATCTACCTGTCTTGTTTTAGGTTCCATTAGCCACCAGAAGCTCCTGGTCATACTGGACCCAGTGAGGCTGTGGCTGCACAACTACGGAGTGTATTGATCTGAGCAAAGCTGTGTTTTATCACTAATGAGCTCAACTTTTCATTTGTTAGAGAAAGATTTCATTATTTCATCTTTAAAAAGTTAAACAGTCTCTCAACATAGCACAAACACACTGTTGAATTATTAAAACAGTTCATTCTAATGTAAATCATGATAGAACATGATATATATTCCAAAAGCGTGACTTGCAAACTTTATATCCTGGTCATATATTCCAGATGAGTTATGGCGATACCTTTACACGAGAATGTAAGAAAATTGGTTGTTTTTTCCCTCTCGTTAAGAAAAAAAAATTCTAAAAGCTCATCATGTCAGATAAGATTGATCCCTGCAGGGTCGTCTGTCTTTAAACAGAGATCTGTGTGTACAGTGACTATTACTACATTCATCACATTTAAAACTCGGCTCTGAAGCCTTCGAGCACTGCAATAAAAATCTGACTTGTGCTGATTAAGAGTGAACGGAGTAAGACGCAGAGCAGAAAGATGCTACCACTCAGTCTGGCTGCATATGAGTCTCATTTTGCTGCATTGATGTTTCAGGAGGTTTGAAAAATACCTGACTTGCAGTTTCTTAACCGAATGCTCGCTGGAAATGTATGACGGGCGCAGCTGGCTGTTTTTATGAGTAAAAAACCACCTTGGGAGATTCAGCCTGAGATTAAGAACTCATACAGCACAATGTCTCTGTGGACGTATATACGTACATGTGTATCTAAGAGTGTGATAAAGCATAGGGTTTAGATTCTCCAAGTCTGCACTATGAGATACGGTGACTGTGAGGCTGTAGCATTTAATACACAATGTTTTCACAGTCAGTTCATCATCCAGTGAGTCATCAGGCTCTGTGTGAAAGCGTCTGCATTTATTTGTCCTGTAGTTTGTCTCAAGTCTACGGAAGCCCCCGAGACGCAAGTCAGAGAAAATATAATCTGGTGATTTATTTTCTAAATTTCCTTTTTTTTTAACATTAATATTTTATAAACTTTTTTTTCTTTTATTCCCCCTATCGTAAACAGTGTCACCGAGTATTAATAAAATCAAATTTGAAAATACACAAAAGGAAAAAATAACACAATAACTTAATAAAATAATAATATAAAAAATTTCAAGAAAGAATCTTAAGAAAAAAAATATTTCTACATGAATCTGCACTACAATCTTCATTCTGTAAATTTTCAAAAATGTTTTTTTTTTTAATCTGTGAAAAAGGGTAAAAAAACAAAAAAAAAAAAAAACCCTACCCGCATTTGTTTTTTTAACCGATTATTTTATTTTATTTTATTTTATTTTTTTTTTAGTTTGTTTTGGTTTGGGTTTTTTTTTTAGTTAGGATAATTTTTCTAAGTGTTTGTTGTTGTAACACCATCTGCACACCATTTGACCGGTATCATAGCTGGCTTATATTTATCTATTTATTTATTTATTTATTTGGATCCCCATTAGCAAACATTACACTCTAATGTAAAACAGATGTATAATCAAAAAGGAACAATTGACAAGAACACAGGAAAACCACAAAAACATAATCAAATAACAAGCAAACAAATAAACAAAAAACCAACGAAAAACAAACTAACAAACAAAAATGAATAAATAAATTAACAATAATACAATACTAATGGCAAATACAATTACAACAATGACAACAAGTATCTTCACTATACCTAAATTGTCAGAAAAAGAAAAGAACAAAAACAAAAATTATCCTGACAAAAACAAACAAACAAACAAACAAACAAATTGTCTTGACAAAAACAAACAACAAAACCTTGTTTTTTTTTTTCTTTTCTAACCAGATTCACAGATGAAAAAACAGTAATTAAGAAAAATTTAGAAACTTAGAAAGATCATTCTGGCAAAACCTTTTTTCACAACCCACAAACACAGGACAGAAAACAATTTAGATCAAACTTAGAAAACGGATCACCACAATGTTTTTTGTCCTACTTGCCTCTCAGGGCTTCCGTACTGATCTGTATGTTTGTGCTGTTTGACACAAACACTCATTTCTCTTTGTGGTTTATTGACTCTGTTTACATCAGTAATGCTTTATTTATTAGGTTGATCATTTTCTGTTCATCACAGTGTTCTTTCCAGTGAAGCTCTGGGGAAATAATTTTTCCTATTAACTTTCCAGGGAAGAAAGAAATATATAATTTTGTACTTAATTTTGTAATTATAGCAGAAATATGAATTTCCTTCAAAGAAGTGCTCCATTAAAATCCAACTACATATTAATTCATTATTCAACAGGAGTGGATGAAGTGTGCGTTACTTTAAATGCTCTCGTTCAGTCTCTTATTAGGAGCGTCAGAGTTTCTACATGAACACAAAACTTTCTGCCAAAGTTAGAAAGGTTTGGATCATTTTATATGAGGGATTTCTGTTTAAAGTTTTGTCCGTGCTCTTCTGTTGAGTCTGAAGTGGGCGGGACTCGACGTGACGTACTTCTGTGCACCAATCAGGATTTAGCAACATATAAAAGAAAGTGTGATGACAGCTGTTGGTAGTTTGCTGCTGTTTTCAGGCCACTGTCAATCAGATCTGATCCAAACTCACTCACACAGTCCTGAAGGAGCAGATTAACTGAGTTTAGAGTGTTAAAATTTCCATGAATAAATGAATTAATAAAAAAACTTATCTTAAATTATTGGTTGTTTAGTCATTTATAGTTAATGTTGCAGAGAAATACTTAAGATTTTAAAAGTTGTCAGGAGCTTTAAGAAGGAGTCCAAGCAATAAAAAATCCTGTTTAAGTAATAAGCACTAGGGCTGCTTCCTGATAGTTTACCAATCAATAGTCGACCAGAGAGGTCATTAGTCAGCAAGATTCAAACAAACGTGAAACTCTATTAAGAGCTGCAAAATAAATCCAAACCTATATGACTGGACCATGTGTGACTTTATTTTGAAAGGACAGACACAGGAAGTGTCCTTGTCAGGTTAATTTCCAGGGCTGGTACCTGCGGTTATTCCACAGGCTAGTTAATAACATGTCGGGCAGGAAATCCAAAGTGTGGGATCATTTTGAGAAGGTGAAGGACGAACCCAAGGTGATATGTAAACTCATCTTCATTGGTCGACTACAAACATGACGTATCATCTGAAACATGGAAGTAGCTACATGCCCATTAGCCCACAGCGTCATTAACAGGCGGCTCGCTCAGTGTGTGACGTGCACTTGGAGATAAAACAGTGGGATGTTTCTCGCTGTGTGTGTGTGTGTGTGTGTGTGTGTGTGTGTGTGTGTGTGTGTGTCGTACCTTTACCCCTTCAGCCTGTGCGTGGAGGATGTGTGCAGCACTGCCAGCGCTCTGACCGCTGCCCGACGACCTCACACTGGTCACACTGCCAGAACTACCCATGCTGCTGCGGTCTCCACCTGCAACACACACACACATCCACACACACACATACATATGCACACACGCGTACAGACATACACACAAAGACGCACAAATGCGTTCACACACGCATGCAAAAGATATGTATCGATTTTGTGCGTACAGATGCACACATTCAACAAACAGATGGATGCATACAGTCACACACACGCACACACACACACGCGCACACACACACACACACACACACACATTGAGTGGTTTAGCTGATATCCAAAGCATTGTGGTAACATGTGTGACTCTCCTTTGAAATGCACTGGGCAGCATGTGGTCGAATGGACGGGACGGACAGACAGACGGACAGGGTGACGGACGGCTGAGTGACAAACACAGAAGTGGAGTAAACAAGACACACCTTTCACTTTCTCTCACACACACACACACACCTTTTCTCTCACTCCTCCTCTCTCTCGTTACTAAACTATTTTTCTTCTCTCTCACACGAAACCGTCTCCACACATCCAGCTGGAAAGACACACAGACTGTAGACCGATGCAGATGGCGGCAGTCCTACACATCAGGCTGCTGAGTTCAGCTAAGCTTCAGATGGAGGGATAAGCAGGACATGGGGGACTGTCAGGAGCGGGTCAAAGAGTATCTGAAAGCCTTCAAACAGCGTCATGTTTTCAGCTGAAAGAAATGGATGGATGGATGGTCGGTTCTGCTCTCGAGGACGTTTGGCAGAAAAGCCGTTTTTGAACAGACGTCAGATACTGTTTGACCCCCGGTCAGAGTTTAAGGAGTCAGGGGTTGAGGGCTCAGCGCAGCGCGGCTTAGTTACCTGCCACGGGCTTGCGCAGTACCCAGATCTCTTCGTTGGAGCCTCCATGGGGCCCGCTGGATGTGGTGGGAGAGCTGTGAGGACTTGCCTCTGAGCCGCGGCAACCTTTAACACAGAACACCACTGTTAGCCGCTAACCGACCCTAAACTGGCCTTGGAAGCATTGCTGTCCTCTTGTTGTAAAATATTTGCATTTAAAGAAGCAACAACTGATGTTTTTGGCAACTTTGGGGAGCGGAAAAACCTGAACATAAAACACTGGTAAGTTATTAGTTGATAGGGCTAACACGTTAGCTAGGCTATTCAGAATTTGGCGACATTAGCATTAATTAAAAGTTGTGTTTCTGCCCATCTGGTGAATGTAAGTTCAATATCCTCTTTCCTTTTAGCTCGGTTATGGTCATGACAAAAATATTTAACTCTTTAGCTGCTGACTGCTAGCTTAGCTAGCTGCTAAGTTTGCTAAGTACAGTTGTGGGTCGTAAAACCAAAACAGTTAGCTTAAATTAGCTTGGTAGAGTTCAAGGGAATAGCAAAACCTATTGATAATTCCCTTTGGTTTGGTGACCCCTCCGACGTAGTCATTTGATTTATCTATAAAATAATATTGATTAGTGCAGCTAAATATCAGGCTCAAAACTAGCGTTTATGTATTCCTGAACTTGAATATGATACTATAACGAGACACTGATGTTAAGAAAATTAGCAGTTAGTTTCTACCATGTTTTTTTCCCGTTAAAGTTTTTTTTGGGGGAGTTCTTCCTTATCTGGTCGAAGAACAGAGGGACGTCGAATGCCGTAAAGCCCTCTGAGGCAAATTTTGATTTGTGCTATTGGGCTTTATTTCCAGAACATTTATAGTATTTATAATTAACTTAATTCTATAGTTTTTATCACATCATGGTAACCTGATATTAGATTAGTACAGGTAAAATGAGGTTTGAGTTTTTATCCTCGTCTGGAGCTAAAATTCTCTGGACTCTCTTATTGCAACTGTCAGCGCTATACAGGATTTGTCCTTGATGTGTTCACACCAAACGCGACGTGCAGCGCTATTACATACAAAGTCAATGCAAAAACGTGAACAGACGTGCATTTGTGCCAGGCAATGACGCAAGTTCTCACTATCCGTAAAAATGTTCAACTTGGGGTGAGCAATATACGTGATGCTGTGAGGCAAAAGTCCATCAGCATTGAGATTCTCCTGACATTACTGAGAATCAAATATAGGCTGGCCAATGTCTCATCCCAACTCACCTGGGACTCGGGATGAATGACGACTCAGAATCAGGTCAAATAAACTCTATCGATCGTGGCTACTAGCACTGCCATCACTGGGCCATTATCAAACATGACCTGGCCAAACATCGGCCCAAACTCGACACGTTGGAAGGAATAAGTCAGGAAGTTTCAGATTGCCCAATTTGGCTGAGATTGGCATGAATGATGCCCCAGAATTGGGCCAAATAAATTGGACCAATTCTGGCTGCTAACACTGCGATCAATGGACGGTTAAAACGACCTGGCCTTGGCTTAAACTCGACATGCTAGATGAAATGACTCGGGCAGTGTCCAGTTGTCAAACTCTGCTGGGATTGGGATGAATGACAACCCAGAATCGGGACAAATAAACAGGCCCAATTTTGGTAGCATACTGTCATCACTGGCCGTTATCACAAATGACCATGCCCAGGACTGGCCCAAACTTGGCATGCAGAAAGAAATAAGTTGGCTGTGTCCAGTTGCTCAACTCAGCTCAGACTTGGGATAAGTGACGCCCCAGATTTGGTCCAAATAAACTGGACCATTTCCAGCTGCCGACACTGCCATCTGTGGCGTGTTATCAAAAAGGACCTTGACCAGTATCAGCATAAACTCAGCATGCCAGACATTAGCCAGGCCGGGTGCGGTTGTCCGACTCGGCTGAGACTACCATGAATGACGCCCCAGAGTCAGGCAAAATAAACTGGCCTGATTCTGTCTGCCGATACTGCCATCTCTGGCATGTTATCAAAAATAACCGGACCCAGCATCAACCCAAACTTGACACGCTGGAAGAAATAAGTCAGGCCACATACAGTTGCACGACTTGGCTGAGACTCTGGAAAAATGACACCCAAGAAGCAGGCCAAATAAACTGGCCCGATTCCAGCCGCCGACACTGCCATCAGTGGGCCTTTACCAAAAATGACCAGGCCCAGCATCGGCTAAAACTTGGCATTCCGAAAGAAATTAATCGGGCTGCGTCCAGTTGTATGAACTGGTTGGGATTGGGATGAATAACGCCCCAGAATTGGACCAAATAAACTGGCCCAGTTCTGGCTGCTAACACTTCCATCATTGGCCTCTTATCAAAAATGACCAGGCCCAGCATCAGCTCAAACTTGGCATGGCGGAAAAAATTAGTTAGGCCGCATCCGGTTTTCTGACTTGGCTGACATTGGGATAAATGACTCCCCAGAATCAGGCCAAATAAACTGGACCAATTTCCATCACTGGGTTGATATCAAAAGTGACCTGGCCTGACATCGGCCCAAACTCGACACGTCAGAGGAAATGACTCGGCAGTGTCCAGTTGCCCAACTCGGCTGAGACTCGGGATGAATGACTACCAAGAATCAGGCCTGATTCTGGCTGCCGACACTATCACTGGGATGCCAGGTGAAAATACACTTCATGTTCGGTGTGAGCACATCGTTAAACACACCAAGCTACCTCACTTCATTACTGACTGACACCACAGATTATTTTTTGCAGATTAAAGCTGTTGAATTGATATTTTTAGACAAAGATGGGTAAAGTGGGGTTAATTAAAAAAACTCCAAACTTATCCGCGAGAAAGACAAAAGTTACAGAGGGGCCAGTGGGAGAGCAGGGGGATGGGAAAAGTTGGATAAGGGAGGTTTTTCTAAAAAAGATAATAAGTTTCACACGTACACACCACACCTTCATCATCACATACATGCTCACACACAAACATACACAGAAATAAATACAGCATATATATATATAGATATATGAAACATATATATACCCATAGTACATAAATCAATCCATAACATGAATATCTGTGTATATACACATATATGCCATAATGTACATACACATACATATATAATGCATCCATACGTGTGTGATTATATATGTAAGCCTTGTCAGAATGGGGCTGCTGTAGTGCATTTGGAGAGTGTCATAAACCATTATAACCATCTTAATAAGGGTTTATAAATGGTTTATATGTGTGATCAACAGTGCTCCAGAGAAACACACACAGTAAGAAGTTCCATTTGCTTTTACACAATGTTGCAGCTCCTTCTTGTGGCCATTTTGCATCCCTCCAAGTGACCTCCAACAGAGAAGAGTCTGATTTCAAAGACTCTGAACAGCCTGTGATTTGACTTGAAGCACTTAAATACTTTTGCTGTTTTCATGGTTTAGGAAAAAAATTACTGACCAGATGTAGTTATAAGTAAAGGCATTTTGTTTGTCTTTATTTAGGTGTATGGGAGACTTTCTGCCAATGTGATGGAAAAAATATTCTGTAAGTAGCTTTATAAAAATAAAGACTCAATATCTGGTAATAATGACATAATATCTATAATATATATTATCTATAATATAATATCATAGAAAAATAGTCTGTCAAAATTATGACTTGGTATCACAAAATAATTACACATATCTCCAAATGATGAAAACTTGCTGAAAATGATAATATTGTCTTACTTCATTTTGAGGTATCTAGTAATTATTTTTAAGATTTTTTGTCATATCATGTCATCATTTTTTTTAAAAGTTGATATTATGAGATATTAAGTTTATTTTAATAATCTTATTATTTTGAGATATTGAATCACTATTTTAAAAGGATTTTTTTATTTGAGAAATTAAGTCATTATTTTAAGACTTGTTTTGTTTTTTGAGATATTAAGTTTATTTTAATAAAATGTTATTATTTTTGCAATATTGAGTCATTATTTTAAGGTTTTTTAAAATTATTTTGAGAAATTAAGTCATTATTTTAAGAAGGTTTTTTATTGATTGATTGATTGATTGATTATTATTTTGAGGTACTAATTTAACTTTGAAACTTTTTTATTGTTTTGAGGTATTAAGTCCTTATTTTAAGAAAGTGTTCATTATTTTGAGATATTACGTAATTAATTTAAGAATTATTTTCATATTAAGTCATTCTTTTTTTTTCTTTAAAAAAAGTTTTATTTTTTTGAGATATCAAGTCAATATCCTACTATTAAATGGAAAAACCTCTGTCCCTCCCTCCCTCCGTCTGTCATCATCCGTTTTCCTCCTCACTGCTTTGACCTATTTCTCTGAGCTTGCACGTAGGCTTTTATCTTGGTCATGTGAAGACAGCCACGATGCCGTTTTTGCATTTTTCCCACATTTCTACTGTTTATATTCACGTTTTTTTCCACTACCCATTCATACTGTGAGCATCATTAGCAGCGCGAGCAGCGCATGTGCGGAGAACACCTGCGCTCGGACCACAGTTTATGGCTGGGACATGCAATTGCAAGCACCAACACTTGCTGAAGACTAAGGTAATTATTTTACTGAACGAACACGCGTCTGTGTCTGTGTGCGCGAGCCCGCCATTACGTATTTACGCACTTTACTGACATTAGCCTACAAACATTACAAACTAAACACAGCGCTGTGCACTTTACACTGTTTCTTTCATTCTTTCTCCATGTTGCGTGTGTATGTGTGTACCTGTGTGCACACGTGTGCCTCCGTGCCGTCAGCCAAAACTATGCTCCACGTATTTTGCCATAAAGCATGTTCCTAAATACAGTGTGCATTGTTTGTCTTACATTAATATTTATTACACAGTGCATTTACAGTGCTCTGATTTTGCATCTCCTCTAATATAGTGTTTTTGATTTCTTATTCCTCTATACATAACACATCCCCGGGTATGGACTAGTTTTAAGAAGATTTTTATAGTTTTGAGATATTAGGTTTATTTTAAGATTTTTTTTTATTATTTTGAGATATTAGAGTCATTGTTTTAAGATTTCTTTTCATATTAAGTCATTATTTCAAGAAAGTTTTTTTATTATTTTGAGATACTTATTGATTATTTTAGGAAAGTTTCTGATTATTTTGAGATATTAAGTAATTATTTTAAGATAGTCATTATTCGGAGAAACTTCCCCATCACATTGGCAGAAATAGGCTTCATCACAATTCCCATTTTTGGACTTCCTGTGCAACAGGAAATGTATTCTCCTGGAGGAAACAAAATGGTGTCCAGTGAAGGCTCCCATTCACAGAGTCGACAGTTTAAAGTCAGTGAATTCCTTACCTGCACAACATCCTGGGTGACATTTTCTAACTATGTATTTGGGTCTCTTACGCAACACTTGACATTTTACATTTCATAACTTGCAAAACTTTGCATGTGACACATAATTTCAGGATGTCTTTTTAATATCTTGTGTTTAAGAATCTAAAAATGTACAAGAACGTACAGGAAAGAAAATATCACCCATTAATGTCAGAAAACATCCCCAACTAACCCTCTGACAAACTTCACTGTCATTAAAGCAACAACTCAAACTGTGTTTCAGCACATTCAGAGCAGATCTAGATTTATTCATCGTCCAAAGCCTGGTACAGATGCTCTATTTAACTTAAATACTCCCACCCTTCACCACCACCACACACACTCTCACACACACATTTAGGGTTTAAGTGCAAGGTGGTAAAAGTGGTGTTAAAATGATCAGGTGTGACAACAACACGCACAACAGGCAGGACAGAACAAAAAAACACGTGTACACACAGTCTGGTCAGGAGAGGGTCGTGTATGATTGGTGTGTGTTTAAAGAAACTAGCAGGGTTGTCTTAGTGGCGGGGACGGGGTGATGTTTGGGGATAGAGGAAAGAACAAAAGGAAGGAAATAAAGAAGTGCAAAGAAACAAGGCAAGACATTTAACTGAGGCACAATCCAACTCAGGAGAACAGAGGTCTGTGGTGACATGGTGAGCTCTCCTCCCACCTAACGTCTACTCTACCTCACTGGCAAAGAAATTCACTAAGGATTCTTCCATGGGGCCCAAACGTCAACAATGTTACGATCTCCTAAAAATTATTTTCACTCTGCGTTATTTACATATAGATATGTAATTTACAGACATGTCCAACACATTCTCACTCTGACCACGTCACAAATCAACGTTTGGTCATGGTCTTTCTGTGTCGAGATATGACGTCCAAGGTACCCTGGGTGTGTTGGTTGTTGATGGTTTGGGACACCGTGTCAACTTCAGTTGGTACGTGGTTGGGTTTGGGAAAAAAGAACAGGGTTTGGCTTTATAATCTTACAGGACGGCAACACCACTCTCAAAAGTGAAAGTCGGTATTTGTTGGATCCATCCACCACACCTCTCTCCCTCCCTACTCGGACTTTCGCTGCCTTAAATTTCATTCTTGTCCCACCACGTTTCCCCCTGGCGCCGCTGAGCGCCGTCAAACTATAACTGCAATCGGCTGCGTATGATGTTGATGTGAAAGGACGTCTTTCTTCATTAGTGTTTGACGCTGAAAGTCACTGCCCAAGTGCCAGATTTCAACGACTTCAGAGTGAGACCAGGTTGACATGTCTTATTACAACTTAAGTGCTTTGGGTGTTTTGACTGACAGTAACGTTAATTTACTAGCTTTGTAATGAGGTAACTGACAAGATGTTTAAGGGTCAAAAATACAGAGGCCTCTGAGTGCAAACAAGCTCAAAACATTTCCATTAGGAGCTGCAGCTTTAGAGACAATGCCCGATTTAAAGATACAAATCCAAAACAGATACAACAATGAACACGTGCTGCAAATTTAAAAGATGTAAAGCCAAAACAAAACATGCTGCAAATCCAATGCAAAGTCAAAAATGCACAAATGAATGAAAAAAAAATGTGTTAGAGTTAACACTGCATACCCAATCAACACAACAAAAGTTCTCCAGGGCTCTAGGGGGAGCTGCAGGGGAAACAGCTTGATTTTTGACCAGAGAACGCAGACGAAAGTGTGTTTGTTTTTGAAGAAAAGTGGAGCTTAATGTTACATTAGCAGGCGTGTATTCCTTTTTAAAATTGGGCTTTGGTCTATTACAATATTGTAACATAGCTCCCCCTAGAGGCCTGGAAGACTTTTGTCGTGTTGACTCGACATGCAGTGTTTTTCTGTTGCATTTGTTTTTGTGTTTTTGACTTTGCATTGTTTCTGTATTTGCAGCATGTTTGCTGTTAATGTGTTTGTTTGGGTTTTCCGCAGCACGTTTCTGTTGTTGCATTAGTTTCTACGTGTTCTTAAATTTGCATCACTTCTGAAGCTGCGGTGCGTTTCTCCTATTAACATTTTTTGCGCCATCATAGCACTTGTCAGCCACTTTTCAAAAAGGCCAAAGTTATAGTTCTGTATTAAAGGTCCAGTGTGTAGGATTTAGGGAGATATATTGGTAGGAATGGAATATAATATAGTAAGTATGTTTTCTTCAGTGTATAATCACCTTAATCCTGTCACTATATATAGGCCTACACACTTATAAACAGCTCCTGGAAGAAGATCAGCTCTGCACTCAGGATTTCAGGTAATGATACAATGCTTGTTAAACTGCTTAGCAACCATAGATGCAACCTGCCACCATGCTCCTGAAAGATGGCACAGAGTAGGCACATGAGCACCACTCAGCACCCGACCTTGTGTTTTCCAGGTGGTTACAGATGCAGCATGTGTACGTCCCATAACCAGGAGAAGTTTCAGCTGGTTGCAATCTGCAATCATCACCGCTAGATCCCCCTAAATCTTGCACACTGGACATTTAAACTACAAATCATGTTGTTGTATTACATGCATGTATTGCTTCCTGTGAATCCCTTGTGTTTAAATCCAGCATAGGAATGACTCTACCACTAAAAAAGATGACTATTATATAAAGAGGTAATTACAGCTTCAGCATCAGCCGCTGTAACTTTTCTCTGCAATGTTCTAAAACAGTTCTACCATTTACACTTAATGAGTCTTGGGCTGAGCTGATAGCTGTGTTTAGTAAAGCAAACTTTAGCGGGATATGTCTTTTGGTCCTATGCTGTGTTTTTCTTATTCTAAGTGCAATAACATCGACATATTTCTTTGTTCATCTTCTGAATGCGCTCTCATTTCTACAATAATGATACAACAGCGAGCAGCTTAAAGATGTTAGATTCCTGTCTACAGAGGCTGACTCTGGCTCTCAGTAATGGAGATGACAACAGCAACAACAGAAAAAGAAAAGTTATAAGTTATGAGCAACACATAAATTTACATAAATAATGATCCATAACAGAAAACTTCAATGGATGCCTTCTAAGATCAACGTTTAAAACACCAATTAGAATTTTACATGACCAATCAGAGATAGAGTTTAAACACAGGCAGAGGAAAGCATCCCTTGAAGCTTTAATAATCATAATAATAAGAATAATTATAATAATAATAATAATACAAATAATGAAAAAGGGGCCGTGTACCTGGGGCAGTGGGTGTGTCTCCCTGTGGGGTTGTCACGGGCGACTTGTTATAGCCAAAGGAAGTGAAAAGTGGAAGCAGTGGCTGATGGGAATGTGGTGGAGGAGGAGGCGGTGGAGGCAGGATATGGATCTGATGGAACGTGGTGTCGTTGCCGTTGACTACCGCGTTGGCAGGGGCAACCGTCGCCGGAGGAACCAGCGGTATCTTTTGAAACTGTTGAGTGCAAATGACTGTGCTGGCCAAACCTAGATAACACCCACCGTGACGACACACCGACACACACACAACCAGCCAACAGTGAATCACCGCCACGTAACAAACAAACGACAAAACCAGAGAATTACACGTAAGAAAGAAGGGGGAAAGAAAAATTAAAAACAAAGGCTGAGGTTATAAAATTAAACAAAGAAAACAAAGGTGGTGAAGAAGACGGCTGAGGACGAAGAGAAAGACACAAACAAACAAACGTGGGCTGTGTTGGAGTGAAATGTACGGAGAGGTGAAAGAGGTGGAGGATGATGATTGATGAAGAAGAGATGGTCCCAGGGACTGTTGAGTTTTACTCTTTATGTGTGTTTGAATCTTTCAGTTTTACTTTGTGACACGAGAAACGTATCTAAAGCCATATGGCACTATACGGCTATTTTAATGTCCGTATTAATAAGTCAAATTAGTTCGTCTTAACAGGTAAAAATATAACGTCTTATCACGTCAAATATACGTTAAGACGACAGACCTAAAACGTTCAGACCATAAAAGCTTCCATGCCATTGGTTGGCGACAACATACCCACCCCTTTTTGACGTAGCCACTGCGTTGACCAATGTGGGTTCCTGTTTGTGGGTACTTTTTGGTTAAAGTCTGTCATGAACTCCTGGTGAGTCCTCTGGAAGCTTTTTAAGCCACTGTGGCTGTAACGTACCACAGCCTGTGTGTTTTCATGTGGTATGAATTTAATAAAATCTTATCTTGTATTACTCAGGAGAACTGAGCTTTGTATCCACCTTATTCCTAGCCCCTGTGGTACCTTGCGTGAATAGTAGGTGCTAGCTTCCAGCGCTGAACCAGAACCGGTGTTTTCCTATTGTACAGAGCGGTATGTCAACAGTATGCTAATCCTCACATGGAACACACCACCTGTTAGACCTAACATGATCATACCTCCATCATCTCTGACATCCATCTCAAGGCATTTGTTGTTTTCCTTTTAAACGAAGCATGCTAGCGATTAGCTTGCCCCGCTCCGTTAGCATATTGTTAAGTTTAACAGAGCCCAAGCTAGCTTACATTAAACACCTTCTCCTAAAAGATGATTCATGATTTCTGACGACTTACCGAGAGATAGTTACACAAGAGGCAAATACATAATTCCATATTAATTTTAGCTCCTTGTAAAGTAAATAAACATGATGTTTACCAGCTAACGCTCCGCTCATCTGCCTTAATGAGACAGATTACACAAGTATTACATCAGTGATAAAAAGAAGTAGTAACACACTTAGAAAAGATTATTATTAATAAAGCTTATTAAGCTCATTACGATTATTATCACTATATTCCTAAAATCTGCAGAAAATATGCTAACTTCTGCGTGGTTATTGGTACATATTTCAATTTTCTTACGTTCCTTGCCTGTCTCCTGACTCACTGCCAGGCAGGCGGCATTTCTCCGGTGGGGAAGTTTGAAGTTTTCATGGCCAATATTACACAATATCATTAGCTACGACAACAATCAGTCTCCTCCGTATATATTTCTTTACTATTGGTTGAGGCTTCAACTTTGAAAGTTCCCCAAAGATGAACTCCAGGCAACGCAAAGATGCAAATTTGCTTTACTACCGAAAGCAAATATTTTATTCGCCTCTCTGCTCAAAGTGAATGGAAGTAAACAGGATGCAAATGTTTGCCAGCGTTAATCTCACTCGTGTGTGACGTGTGCTTCAATGCACCAATGGAGCGCTGAAGAAGTTCAAGCCTGCTTAACTCTGTAGCGTGCCATGCCGTCCCTTGGCAACAAGTGTCAGGCATCAGTTAGTATACTCTAATAAAGACAATGCCTTGTAGCCTGTTTCTGCATCATTTGTAGTGTGAGCACAATATTAGTAAAGTTAGCTGGTAGAGTCTCACCAACTGACCGTTCAATAAGTCCCGCCCCCGGACACAGGCTGGCTAATCATAACGTAGCATTGTAGCAATGTAGCAACAACACAGCTGTGCTCCATTGTGTCAGATTTCCTTCATTTTCAGGCTGGTGTTGTGGATGTGGAGCTAAATGTTGTGCCTGGGGCACATCGTGTATTAATGATACTCGTTACCTGGAGAGGTTGGAAAAAGATATACGTTTCTTCCCTGTTCCAAAACCAAGATCAAACTCTGAAAAGTGTAGGGTTAGCTAGCTAGCTACTGAAGATATAACCTACTGAATGTATACACATGCTGCTTTTGCTTTTTAATGATTTTAACAGTGAAACAAAGAGCGACCCTGCTGTACAGGAACCAGTGAAGGGAAGCAGGGAGACTTTGCTAAAATTAAACCAGCTGTGTGTCATCGCAGTGTGTGCAGATGAATGTTGCTTGTCTTCCCCCAGAGATCCCTGCATGTCTGGCTGGGGAGGTCCAGCTGCTGGCAGTAGCACAGGAGTGAAGCCAAACACTGTGCCTCTGCACACACTGCGATGCCACACAGCTGGTTCAATATCAGCAAAGTTTCCCTTTATATTCATTGTCTTGTGTGGCGATCAGCAGTAATGTGGTGGTTCACTTTTACACCCCTCTGTCTGCTTCTTTCTGGAATCACTATTTCATTTTTACAAAAACATGATCATATTTCTTCACCTAATTTATGTGCCATTGTATGTGTTGAAAAACAGTCTAATGTAACGTCCCTATTGGAGGAAAAAGAAGAGAGAGGTGCAGAATGATGGAGAGACTGACTGAGGAGACTTGGTGGAAAAAAAAGAGCAATTAAAAATTGATGAAAAACAGTTGAGTAAATGAATCCTGCTAAAACAGCTGCTGTAGCCCCAAGTGTGTGTGTGTGTGTGTGTGTGTGTGTGTGTGTGTGTGCGCGCCCTGGCACTGATTCGTCAGTATGGCTGTGCAGGCTGAGTGGGAGTTCTCCAGCTGTTTTTACTGCATCCACAGCTGCTGTAATGCGGTGTGTGTACGTGAGGTCAGAAGCAGCCACAGTAGCATTTCCCCCGACTTGGAATAGTTTCCATAGCGATAAATGAACAATACAGTACATACAAGTAATGACAGAATGATGAGCAGAAGAGTGGACTACATGAGAGAGGAGAGATAATATGAAAGAGATGAGTTTCATGATCACAGGGGATGAAGCTGACGGTAACAGAGAGACGGGCTCACAGACTGAGACGAGTAAGACATAATACTACAGAGAGACAGACGGATGGACGACCAGAGACCTACAGACAGACACATATACACAGTTAAAAACATCTGAGCCTCTTTGTGAGTGTGCAGTGATACTCTGGGATGAAGGGATGGATGTGAGTGTGCTCTGTGGATCTCAGCAGAGACGTTAAAAGCTCATTGTGGTGAAATTAAATACAGAAAGGAAGTTAATTTATGGGAGATTGACACACAGCTGTTCAGCTCACCTGTTAAGTGATGAAAACACTGAGATGGCACCAAGAGTAAACCTGGAAGACCTTTGACCTCATTGTAAGTTTACATGATGAGCAATGTGAGGAATAGTTTGACATTTTTTTTGGCTTTGTCTTTATTTAAAGAGACAGATTCTTAAGCATGAAAGGGGGAGAGAGAGGGGATTTGATTCCAACCTGCGACCATGTAGTTCAACATTATCAGTTATACTTATTTAACTTATCTTGCTTCATGAAGCTTGACACCACTCTGATGGATCTGTACAGTAAAGGTTAGTCTAGCAAGAGTCAAGGCCTTTACACAAAGAGTCTGTTTTTTAGTCCAAAATTGTCGTACGTCTAAAAATAAATATGACCTCACGTTGCACGCTGTGTTTGAAACTTTCATCCGTCATTAGAGTTTTTGGAACAGGTTTGATTTTCTGCATTTTTTGCATCCGTCAGAAGCCTGTAGAGACTTCAGTTTTACTGAATCTGTATAGAAAATGTGGCGGTGCGACACAGCTCACCCTTTTTCCTCTTTAAGTGCGATGGCCTTGTGGGTAACCCGCGAGGATGTGACGTGTACTTCATTGTGTACGGAGGGAAACAGCTCTCTCATGGTGAAGACGCCAAGTGGCAAGAAGTGATGATAGTCAGCAGAATTACGTGTCTAGATGAGCTCAGGGTTATTACTGTTCAACCTCATGAGACGGCCATGTTTGTTGTTTTGTGGTGAAGACGGCAATAAAGCCATTGTGAGTGAACGGCACCGGAACGCCTCGCCATCCCTCCAGACCGCTAGGAGCTAGTTACCAGCCAATAACGAGCTAAGTTAAAATTAACATTAATAAGCCAGTGTGTTCCCAACTATGGTTCAGAGCCAGTAAGCTGTCACTGAGAGAGGTAACACAGAATCATTTCATAACTCAGACAACTACTTTCAGCAGGTCAAACTGTAATATTTGACCTGCTGATGATGATGATGAAGAGGAGGAGGATGTGGACCGCACAAAGAATATGCAGAACAGCTCCGCCCCTTCATGCAGCTGCGGTGCCAAAAGAAAGACAGTGAGGGATTCGTGACGGTCAGATATGTAACTCCAGTGGAGAGAGGCAAAGGAGGAAATGTGTCTTTTCAGTTTGTCACGTGTTGCAAATTTTCGAAATGAATAGAGCAAAAAAAAAAAAAAAACGCACTGGAATCAGAGTGTCAGGTTTCGGATTAAAAAAACACATAAAGTTACTCAGTGTGCAAAGGCCTGTAGCTTAGCTTAGCACAAACACTAGAAACAGGTGGAAATAGCTTGCTGGAAAATAATAAATATTATGTTTTTTTCAAAATGACCTAAAGCTACATTCGAGGTACATTCAGTAGGAGCTTCAAATGTAAAGAAAAGCCAACAAAACTACTCGGTTAGACTCAAAAAAAACCCCCATTGTATTGGGTTAAAGTAAATACATAATATGTTAAATGTGTGATGTAAGTATGGGACAAGATGTTCGTAAGTTAGATAAGACACGGGACAAAGCAATGGTCTCCTCTCCTCTCTCCCGCCCTACAGCGACTATCTCACTTTTTTTTTGCTACAACACGGTCTGAGTGTCAAATATCGCCACGGATGGGTTTACATTGGGGCACTGGTTCCCAACTGGTGGATCGCGGTCCAAAAATTTGTAAAAAAAAACAAACACACACTTTATTTTGAATCACAGTGAATTTTTGGCACAGAGCTTTTATTTTGAAGTGCTGTTTCCTGCTGTAGAGTGAGTGACAGCTACTTAACAGAGACAACAAACAAGCTTGACAACATGGCCAAACGCAAGTATGACGCCAAATGTCTTAAACTGTGTGGACCTTGAACTGATGACTAAGGAGAAATTTACACCGCAAGTGATGCGTTCACGTAGCGCTCGCAAAGCAGTCCACAAGCGTAGCGGCAGCACACGTGTATTCACACCAAAACTGAACCAATAAGTCGCGCAGCAGCCGCTGCTGTCCCGTCAAAACACAAACCACACCCGAACAGTTGGTGGCGATAGTGCACCGTGTTTGCAAAGCTTCAATAAATCCCAAATAAGAAGCAAGTTGTGACCTAAAGCCCAGGGTGGACAGGTTCGCACGCCAGTGATTATTCCAACGCTTGGTGATTTAATATTTAGCACTACAAATGGGTAAGTACATGAAACACGTGCCTGTCAGGTCTCGCTTGGTCAAGGGGGAGATGTCTACGGTGGCCAAGAGAGGTCACAACACATGCAAACTCTCATTTTTTGTTGAATACCGCGACCACTTGCTCGTGAATCACGCAAAAAATCTCTTCTATTTTCAAGCTTGCCCGCGAAAGCAGCGCGACTCGAGCAGCCCATAGAACGGATGTGGTGTGAATGCTCTACCCTGTTAACATGCTCGCCTAAATGAAAACGCAAGTAAACAGCGACCGTTCGCGAGCGCTACGCGAACGCATTGCTTGCGGTGTAAATGAGGCCTAAGGAGAAATTTGGACACTGAGGCCAGACCAGATGGGAACCACTGGATTAGGGTGCCTTCAGCGTCAGTATCACATGCCGAGGGACGAGACAAAGCATCGGTATTTGACAACCTGGAATGAGAACAGGCTCCTGGCTGCTGGCAGTGTAGCGCCACATTTACTGTGCAGACATGAGAGTGGTGTCAATCTTCTCATCATGAACAAAACAAATAACCCAAAATGTGGGACTACTCTCATTCAGCAGGTGATGGTAAGTGTCAGCAAGGACAGACGTACGGATGGTTTTGGTGTCTGTATTCTCATCACTTAACGGGTACTTTGATCATCAGGCTGAACTCCTAAAGACTTTGTGTTTTCATTCATGTCGTTAAAAATTCTGATAGAAGTAAAGCATAAATCTCGGATTACATCTTCAGCAATGCAGGGACGACAGCAGGGACTGTGCTGCTGGCCGACTCACAAACTCTCCCAGTGTGTGAGATGAAAGAGATGACACTCTCTGATATGATTCATACTCTGACTTGGGAAAAGTTAACCAATGGGATGTAAGGTTAAGTGCCTTCCTCCAGGGTTTATGGGAAAGGCTAGAACATCATTCATTCACTTAGCTTCTTCTTCTCTGTCTATCTTTGTCTTCTTCTTCTGTGTTTAATCCAATTATGTGTAAAATATTCCCCGACAGTCAGCTCGGTCAAACACACTCACATGCACACACAAAGGAGGGCAAACACACACACCTGTGCGCTTGCTGATGACCTCCACCATGGTGGAAGGGAAGTAGCCGACTCGGTCGTTTCCTGTCCGGTTGTCATGGATACAGCCTTTCCAGCGTCCATCTGGGTGCTGCTCCAGAACCTGTCAGGTGGGCATGTTAACGACGACAACATTAAGTTTTTATTTTACATCTCAAACTGGCTTTAATAACATTATTTAAATCTGTTTTTAGAAAAGTTACTGAAAAACCTCAAGAGAAACCATCAAAGAACAAAAATACAAAACTGCATTCAGAGCCGTCTTCAACTCTCCATGTCAGACGGCAGAGGAGCCAAACTGTTCATTCATGCCCTGAGGGAGGAGGCATACAGTAGGCTCTGCTCCGCTTCCTTATTACAGTAATAAGAACCCACAGGCTGCGAACATGCTCATAAATATTCATGAGTGGTGGGCGGATGGTGATGCAGCAAATGAATACATTTTTCTGTAAAACATATTCGTAGTAAATGAGGGAACCTGAAACTGCTCATTTTACATATTCATCAGTAATCTCACCAAAATACTCGCTAATAACACAACACCCAAACAGGATGGTTGTCATGGCGACATTAAGGAAACCAACCAGCTTTTATGTGATTAATTTATCCAAACACTTTGAGACTGCAGCCACCTGGATTATCATGTGATGATCAGGTACAGATACTGAAAACACTTCTGTACTTAGCTCCCCCCAGAGACTGAGAATATTTAAGGAAAGGAGCTGTGCTTTATACTTTCAATATCAATTAGTGAGCAGATTATTTTCTCAGTTATCTGTGTAATGATTTGTACGGAAGCATATTGCATTCACTTGACAAATAAAAAAAAATCTGTTTTATTGAGTAATTTTTTTTTCTGTTTTTCGTGGTATTTCTTTCTTTTTTTTCGGGGTAATTTTTTCTGTTTTTCTGAGTATTTTTTTCCGAGTTAAGAGAGCAATAGAACAACAGACGCTTTCATTCCTTTCTTGAGAGCTGGATATAATGGAAGCAAACATGACCCGCTTGTTTAGTTTAATCCAGTTTTACTTTGTTTTGGGTTTGAGACACTGGGAGACACTCTTGTCTTTAAGTCATATAGATGGTGTTATCTAGGGCTGTACCCAAATATTCGGATATTCGAATATTCATTTCTATGGGTAGGTATTCGTTCTGAAAATTTGGTATTCAATATTTATTTTTTTTACATATTTTTCGGGTGCTAAATGTAGTCTTTTTGTTGTTGGTAAATGTAGGTTATCAATAAAAATCAAAACTTTTAAATTGCATTGTTAAAAATGTGAAAATATAGTATCGCCTACCAACTGAGCTTGTGCGTACGGCACGCTTGAGCGCATCCGTCTGAGGCTGTGGATCAATGCCACGTTTTACCACTTTATCACTATTCCCTCTAAATTGAAGCTGTTTTTTCGTTATCTTTTGAATTTAATATGAATTATGGAACCATTTTTGTCAATGTTTGTTTCCCCCGTTTTGTACAATAAATTATTGTTTAAAGTTTCAACAAGTTTCTTTTGGAGTGCGGGACACAAGTGTGTTTTGAAAACGACCGCGGACTGTCACCTGCTCAACGCATCAGTACCTTCGGATGCCATGACAGTAATAGCCAATAATGTCAAAATATCATTTACAGACCGATTTAACAGACGATCACTGCTGCCCGACCCGCAGGTCCATTTGCAGGTCCCGCGGGTTACGGGTTGACCCGCACATCACTACTCAGCTCAGTCTATAAGGCTGTACACAACAGTAAGGCTATAGACATTATATTCTATTCAGTCCGGCAGAACCAGCAGCGCATCGGCTCTACAGTGCACGGCACTGCTGATTAACCATTTTATTGCAGCACAGAGTGTCTGCCAGCAACCAATTACTTGCAGAGGCTTCCTACAACTTGTTTCAACGGTTCTGATTTAATCAGAAGACAAATTAAACAGGATGACTAGCCAATGTGAAAATCAAAAGAAAGCATAGAATAATGTACTGAAGCAGACTGTTGTGCCATCACATTTTTTTGTGGTTTGAGAGCAAAGATCCGTCGCTGCTGTGCAAAACTCCGGTGGCAAGCTCCATGGATACAAGATGATGCATCTGAAATGCATTCAGGCTGGCTACGTGGTGACTCACGTAAGGTGCCTGCGTAAAGTTGACAAGCTAATGATAACAGCATCTATATGACTTAAAGACAAGAGTATCTCCCAGTGTCTCAAACCCAAAACTAAGTAAAACTGGATTGGAAACTGGAAGAAAGGAATGAAAGCGTCTGTTGTTCTATTGCTTTTAACTCGGAAGAAAATACTCGTAAATTGTAAATTACCCCGAAAACAAAACAAAAAAATACCACAAAAAACAGAAACAAAATTATACCAAACAATAGAAAAAAAATAAAAATACTCTGAAAAACAGAAAAAATTACTCAATAAAACAGATCATTTTTATTTGTCAAGTGAATGCAATACGCTTCCGTAGATTTGACCTATAAAATGCCAGAAAAAAATATAGAATGTCCATCACACATATTTGGGTTTTGGACCTGCAGTCAAGAACCCAAACATGTTCAATCTGCTATCAAAAAGGACGACAACAACACAGCAAACACTCACATTTATTAAGCTCGAACCAATAATAGATTTTGCATAAAAAATGACTTAAACAAATACGCAGTCATTTGAATTTTTCATGATCAATCAAAGTCTCAGGGCTGCTGTGAATTTACACCTACTTGGGGCAACAAAAAAGGTTTGTCTTGGGTGCGTTAGTGCAACAGACAAACAAGAAAGGACCTGCACATCAATGTTAGTGGGCTAGAAAGCCACAAAAAGGTCCACAGGCTGAGATCAGTGCAAAAGAGTGAAATTATTAAACACAAAAATGCTGCTCAAAGTGCAAGAAAATGAGTAACTTCCATGTTATTTTTTGCACTTTCAGCAAAAAACCCCACTACTATTAAAACACTATTACTATCTCTCCCTTTTATTTTTTTATTTTTATTATTGCATGTGTGTGTGTGTGTGTGTGTGTGTGTGTGTGTTACCGTAATGACGTCCCCTGCTTTAATGTTGAGGCTGGTCAGGTCGTAGTTGTTGCAGTAATCCTTCAGAGCCCGAACCTGAAGGGCCGCTGAAGCATCTGAGAGACAGACAGAGGGACAGGAAGTCATACTGTACATTACAGTGAGTTTATATTATTATATAATTTATCATGTCGACACCACGTGCATTAAAATAGTTCCTGTTGCCGGAGGTTACCTTCGTTAGCTTGCTAAAGTTTTCCATCACAACAAATGTAACGTTCCTACAACAGGACAGTAGCTTGCAGTGTGCGTACAAACAGTGTACGTTGTGTTTACAACAGGAACTAATCATTCCTGCATAATAAAACGTTAAAGGTATACTATGTAACCACCGATAGATCCATTCATCCATCCATACATCCATACATCCATCCATTTATATATCCATCCATACATCCATCCATTTATATATCCATCCATACATCCATCCTTCCACCATTTATCCATCCGTTGATCCATTAACCCATTGATTCATCCATTTGCCCATAGATCCATCCCACCCATCCATGGATCCATCCATTCATCCATCCTTCCATCATTCATCTATCCACTGATCCATTAATCCACCTTTCTATCCATCCATCCATTCATAGATCCGTTCATCGTCTATCCATCTATCATCCATCAACACATGCATCCACTCATCAATCCATCAGTCATCCATAGAGGCATCTATCCATCCATCCATAGATCCATCCATCCATTCAATATCCATCCATCTATCCATCCATCCACAGATCCATCCATTCATCATCCATCTAGACACAGATACATCCAAAAATTGATCCATCCATCCATCCATCCATCCATCCATCCTCCTTCCTTCCTTCCTTCCTTCCTACCCCTCAGCAGCTGTTTGATCTCTCGGCTGGCCTGTGTTGCAGTGAACTGGTAGACGATGTCCAGAGCCGTCTGGCTGTAGGTGTTCCTCACTGTGGCGTTGATCCCACTCTGCAGCAGAGAGAAGAAGATGGAGACACTGTGCTGAGTCTTTAATCACAAAAACAGCCCAGATGGTTCATTCATTATTGCCAACTTTAAACTGAAGTTTGTAACAAAACAAACTTTCTTTATTACGTACCTGGTTATACAAGAAAAATCAAAACACATATCCAGTTACTCAACACTCATGAGTGTGTTTCTCCCTGTATTGTCATATTTTCCCACCATGACGTCGGCGGAATATAACCCATGCTTCATTGTGACCACAGTTCAAAGACGTAACCATAGTTACATCATGCTGGAACGTCATTAACACATATTGCCTCTGTTGAGTTCATGAACCGCTGAGACATTTTCATGTCAGCAGCACAAATGGATCATCTGTATCTACTCTTTCTCACACTGCTGATAGGCACCAAATTTTCATAACTGAGCCTCAATTTTATCACCCAAGGTTTTATAGTTAACGAGAACTAAGACTAAAACTAGCCCTGAGAGAATAATTTCATCAAATGAAATAAGAAATAAAAATGACAAAAACTAAAACACAGCTGACTGCAGAATCAGCTTCTCCTTCATTTCCTCCCTCTATCAGATCACTACTGAAGGATCGAGTCTGTTCTCAGTGAAGTTCCACTAACCTCCAGCAGGAGTCTCACTGCCTCGGTCTTCCCACACAGGGCAGCTTCATGCAGGGCCGTGCCTGCTTTGGTCTGTCTGTTGATGTCGATACCTGCCTGGATCAACAGTCTGACAGCGGCAGCAGAGGGCAGAAGAAAGGGAAAGTGATTCAGGAGAGGAAGTTGGAAATACAGTGAGAGATGACGGAGCAAGGACGGAGTGACTCAGAGGAAAGTAAGAGTGAAGGAGGAGAGAGTATGAAGAGGTGAGAGGAAGGAGAGAGGCGGAAACAAAAGATGGACCAATAAAAATCAATTAAAAGTCAATTACCAGTGAATAAAAGCATTTATATACATTCATAGGAAAGTGAACTGCTACAGAGATTTCTTTGCTACAGGTGTTTCACTGAAGACTGAGCTTTATTTTTACTTCCTTCATGTTATTTTCACAATCAATAATCTCCACCACCATCACAAACTTGTGGGAGAAAACACAAGCAGCTAATCCACTTCTTGTAGTCGTCATAGTCCCTGCATGCGTTACATTTTTGAGAAGGTGCAGGTCAGCTGTAGCCAAAAACACAGCTTTGGCAGCTACGTGCACAGACTCCATAGTTATAGTGTAACTGAGCGATGAAGGCTACAACTACAAGTCAAGCGTTAAGTGTGCCATCTAGCCACACTCAATGAAAAAGGCAAATGGGGCATCAATCAGGGTGGGGACCAAGAACCCAATGACCCAGACAGTTGTCCCCTAAAAACAGCTGTGTAATAGTCCATCTAGTCTGTGGTTTGACCCAGGGGAAATTTCAATTTATCATTCAAGGTTTTTTGTTATCTCTAGGGACATCCAAATAAAATAAAAGTATACTTTTACTGCATATAAAATAGTGGATTAAGGTAAATTCATGGCTCAAAATCTGGGGCCAATTTGTCACAGCATCACACAAAGAAGTGCATATCTGCTTCTGAACATGATATTTTCATATAATTTATGTCAAAACATCAGTTTTCTAGGATGTTCTTTCTCATATAACCATCAGATATGACCTGTTCTGAATGTCTATGTGCAATTAGTGGGTACCCATACCCCCAAAATGACCTTTTTTGAATCCAAACATAGTCCGTGAAAATAGGTTAAAAAGCATATTTAGCACAAACAAATGTGTTTGTCCATGAAATCCATGATGCATGTCAGCACCTACACCGAGACCTTGAATGAGACCAAGCCTGAAACAGGCCTTGGCTGTGGGCCTACATATAATCCTCACTCCAAGTCCTCATCCAAATGTTGGGCTGGAATATTTGTGCAAACACCTCTGCATTCTTAACAGGTTATAGGGAGCGATCAAGTCCTTGACAACATTTTATATTCTGTTTAGACTCTGTTTATCTGTAATTTGCAGATCAGTATCATTGCCCTCTCCACTGCAGCAGCAGTTTCTTGGTAATCTGCAGGGAATGACGCTAACTTTTTCCCCAAGGAGCACATGTGCTCCTTGGGGAAAAAGTAAGGAGCGCACAAAGAACTTTAGGGGCACAATGTAAATTGATCAAATAATGTGTTTTCCGTAATAAACATGATGCAAATAGACATTTACAAGCAAAATTATTAAATGAATTTGTATACAAAATGTACAGAAAGGTAAAATCATCAAGTTTTGAAAAAGTATTGCAATTTAATTTTGTCTTTAATGTTATTATCTTATATATATTATCTTTGCAATATGATTATCTTATATAATGTTATTACTATCCTAAAACATTCTCCAGGTCCTCTGAAACTCTGCAGGACTTATTTCCACCCTGCCCAGCAAAAGTACAGTGGAGAATGGTCCCTAACTGAGGGGAGAACGGAGCAGGCTTCCCCGGAGGTCCAACGCTTTTCCCGGTCCCTCGTCTCCTCCACACTTTGACTTATTTCCACGCTGCCGACAGTGGGACTTATATTCATTGTGCCGACAGTGGCTTGGAAAACCGCCCATAACCGTGTCACACGGGGAAGAGGGAAGGCGGCTGGAGTTCCTCCAACATTTGCGGTTAGATTATCATATTTTTTTATTGACAAAAATATAGGCTGCTTCGACTGATTTTTTTATGCGCACATGTGCCCCTAAATATTTTTTACAGTTCGCACACACCTATTTTTAGTCGCAAATGCGGGTGAAACGCTCGCACTGTCGAGCCCTGATCTGAATACTTTACTTTTATCCAGTATAGGGCACGATCATCTGTGCAAGCAACTTATTACAACCTATATCTACGTTTATTGTTATGTGGTAAATTTAATGGCTTTAGTAATTGTGACGGGAGAAAAGGAGGAAGTCAGGTATTGGAATAAAATGAGCGACGAAGTTCATGTTCAGAGGAGCTCAGGGTGGATGGACGGGTAACCAAGTAGTGTTGGTGTCTAAAGCAAACAATGTTAAATAGTAGTTCAATGGTGTTCATTATGTCTTTAGTTTATGATAATGACTTTAGTGTTCTTTTATCTCAGACATGTTAGAATATTACATACCGTGACATGTTTCAGCGGAAACTTCCGCCTTCCTCAGAAGTGTAACTTGGTGGTGGTTGTGACACGTCTTTATCAGCTGATCTGTCAATCAGCCGATATTAGGGAGGCGTCACGCCACCTGCTGTCCATCCGCCGCCTCTCCAGGATTCTGCTCCAGGTGTGGGAGAGCATGTACGCCCCCTCGTCCCTGTTCATTGTCCCTGGGCCCTGCTCCCTGATCCAGCGCCGGTATTTGTTGTCGGAGGACAATTACTCTCCCACACCTGGAGCAGCATCTTGGAGAGGCGGCGGACGGATAGCAGGTGGCGTGACGCCTCCCTAATATCGGCTGATTGACAGATCGGCTGATAAAGACGCATCACAACCACCACCAAGTGACACTTCTGAGGAAGGCGGAAGTTTGTCACGGTATGTAACATCCTAACATGTCTGAGATTAAAGAACACTAAAGTCATTATAATGTTAAATAGTAGTTACTGGATGTGACTCCAGTTCTATGAGCACATGTGCCTGTCACTTGTACTCTCCTATGGTCATTGGCAGTCATTTGCAAACGATCTATTCTGTTCATGAGGACGTGTTGCACTGGCCAGTTAAACAGAGCTTTACAAACTGCCAAAAATAGGAACCATCCCAGAAACAGTCAACAATCAGTCAGACTATTATTATTGTTTTATTGCTGTTCATAATTCTTGATAGACATTGCTGTGACTTATTTGTTTTTATGGACTTTTTTCATTACTTAATTGTGATTTTTGTCATTTATTTGTATCTGTCTTGCCCATTGAATGTGAACTCAGGGAATTGCTGTAAAGAGCTTAATGCTCAGTCAGGTTTCTCTGAATAAACAATGGTTTGATTGATTGATATAAGAAGTTCCTAAAATTAGATGCAGTATTCACAGGAAACAACCTGCCCAAATTCATCCTAATCTCTCGTTTTACAAAAACTTTCTGCAGTTCACTACTTGGTTATTGAATATAATCCGAAATATGCATAAAATATGTCACTCAGTCAGTTTACTGGAGGGGTCCCTGAGGAGTCCCAGCTTTAAAGGACAGGGTCACAGGAAAGGACACAGGGTTGAAAGATAAACTGGAGAAAAGCTGCCAAACACACATTATATTTCCCTCTAACTTCTCCTGACTTAGTGTTTGTGTTTGTGTGTGTTTATGTGAGTGTGTGTCTTCCACAGACTGCTGGCCATGCCTAATGATGACCGTCATTTATCGGTGTCACTTGTAGAGAGGCGCTCTGCTCTATCAGCTATGACAGGCTTTATTCTCCTCTCTTTCTCTTATCTTCCCTCAACTGCAGCCTTCTCTCATCTCTCACTGTCTCTCTCCTTCCCCTGTCCTCTCCGTCTGTGTCTGCAAACCGCTGCACACACACACACACACACACACACACGTATATACAGTCCAGAGTTACTTAAAAGTGCTTGAGAGCGATGGGAGGAAAAATAGACTTTGTGGCGTGTGTTTATTTGCCGTCGCCGCAGTTCTGCAGGGATCTCTCATCTCAGAGCTTCGAGCTGAACGCTGACATCACCACGGCAACAAAAGTCACTCTGCCATGATGCTCTTTTGTGAAAATATAAACAAAAATTAGACGTGCGTCCCCGTCGAGATGAGATTATAACCACTTGACATTTAGCAAGACTGAGTGCCACGCAGATCTGTGATTGTCTGTGTGTCTGAAAACCTATTTAGGAGAATCTGACTGATGAATCATCTCCGTCTCTCTACGGCAACACACTTCTTCCATTATTCCTTCACTTAATCGGATCAGGTTGTTCCCCTGTTGTGTTATTTATCTGTTTTCTCAGAGAGCTCAGGAGGACATTTAAACTCTGTGATTCATTAGAGGTGGTGTGTGTGAGACGAACCTCTAGGATGGATGTGTGTTTGTGTGTGTACTTGTACATGATACATAGTGAGGACCAAACAATTTAACAACAGAGTGAGGACATGGTTGAAAAGTGAGGACATTTTGGCTGGTTCTCACTTCTTGATAGGCTTGTTTGAGGGTTCAGACTTGGTTTCAGGGTTCAGGTTACAGTTAGGTGTAGGTTAGGGTAAGGGTTGGGGTTAGGCATTTAGTTGTGATGGGTTAGGGTTAGGGACTGTTCTTTACTTATCAGAGGAGGGGGGCGGCTGGGGTGTGACCCTTCCTGAAGCTACAAATATTTTTCCTTGCGACTCCCTGGGTGACTGGGGGAAAAATAACCCTCCCTCTGCCATAAATGAGTTATTAGATTTATAAACTTTACCCTCTGATATTTGAAAGTTAGAAGCTGAAAACGAATTTTGCGGTTGACAAAAAGCCTCAGATTTTTGCTCTTGTTGTTCATGCTGGTTGAGGGTCTTTTTTGTCCAAAATTTTAAAGGAGACAAGGAATAAAGTGATTTTTATAAAATATCATTAATTTAAGATCAGATTTGGTTTGGGGTTTTTTTTCTGACAGAAGCCTTAAAAAATTGTATTAAAATTTTTACAGAAAAAAATGCATGGGTTTGGAAGGCATGTTTTCTTTAAAAGTCACTGAAATTTACCTCAAAATAACATCGCCAAAATTTGAAAAATCACCCAAATTTGACATGTTTTCTTTAACAAAATTTATCTCCAAAAATTATCACATAATTTGGAAAATCACCAAAATTTGAAAGGCATCTTTTCTTTAAAAAATCAGTGGTAACAAAAATCGTAATACAGCCATTTATATTTGTATGCTGCTCCCCTAAGCCAAAATAAAAAACCCCACCCCCCATAAATATTGAGCAGTCCCTTAGAGTAAGGGGCTAGGGGATGCATTACGTCAGTCAGGGTCCTGACAAGGATAGAAGGATAGTGTACCTGATGATGTCTATGTGTCCATTCTTGGCGGCCAGGTGGAGAGGAGACGTCCCGTTGGGGTCGGTGGTGTCTCCTTTTTTGGGCTCCAGCAAAGCAGCACACATGTTACTGGACAGCAACAACTGGACCACCTACACACACACACACACACACACACACACACACACACTCGATCATTTCTGTAAATCGTCTTCAGGTGCTGATGTTTTTGAATTGCGACTAAAATCAGCTTCTTACCCCGACTCTGCCGAACTCACAGGCCAGGTCCAGAGGTGTTTTCCCTGCGTTATCCACGATACACGGGTTGGACTGGTGCTGCAGCAGCATCTCCGACTGGAGACAGTAAACACACAACGACACATGAGAAAAGAAGGATGGATATTAACCCTTTAAAGGTTCTGTGTGTAACATTTAAGGGGATTTAGTGACATCTAGTGGTGAGGACTGCAGATTGCAACCAGCTAAAACTTCTCCCGGTTAGAATTCCTTTAGTGTTAATTGTTCAGGAGATTTTTACTGGGAGCTGAATTATCCACAGAGGTTTCTTCCTCTTCCACACAATCGGACCAGGTGATTAAAACCACTAATAAAAACAATAAAGCAGCTTCATGTCATAAATCAGTGTTTGGCACGTTTGAGACAGGCACCTTAGCTAACTGTGTGTTTGCTGAACAGAATCACAGTATAGTAATGATTAAGAGAGGGATAGCAAACTGTTACGACCGCAATTGTGTAAAATGTTTTACTTAAACAATTTCTTCTCTTCAACTGAGTGCAGTATGGTGACTGTTACATTCAGTAGATCTGCATAGTGCCCATTTTTTCAAAGGCTTTAAGAAAAACCGGTTAAGAAAGAAAACGTAACAGAAAATTCCATCTCAGAGGTTTTTCCAGTCTGGGATGAAACACTGCAGTGCTGCTGCAGGCTCGCCAAAGCATCAACAATGAAATATAGCAGACTCACCACAGCAACTAACATACCCTGGAGGAGAGCGACGCTCGGCATTCACAGGCTCCAACACTGAAGACCAACTGCTTCTATTTGATTAAATAACCATGATTTATACAGGCTACCATCCTGGGGCTGAAGCTCTAATCCACAGCTGCTCCCAGTGTGCACAGCCAAATAAATAAAAAATTAGAAAGACTGAAACAGTCCACAGATTAAAAAATGAATCATTTAACATCCAGCGAGGCGCACACGGGACTTGAGAGACACTTGCTGTAACAACAAGTACGGCGAGACGGTGTTTTTATCAGAGACGAGGGAATCTAATTTAGCGTGTTCTTCTAATTTGTTCCATTTTTAAGGTGCATTAGAAAGCACAATGAACTAATTCCTCTGCTGGGAATTTATCCCTCTAAGTCCTTTACCACTTTAACCAAGCTTTTCCTTTCACTCGATGTCACAGTGCTCCTCTTGTACAGGGAGGGATTCTCTTTAACTCAGCTACGGACAAACACTCAGCTCTTTGCAATATACACTCACTGGCTACTTTATTAGGTACACTTGTTCAATTGTTCAAATAGCTAATCAGCCAATCATGTGGCAGCAACACATTTAGTCAAGTAGACATGGTGAAGACGAGCTGCTGAAGTTCAAACTGAGCATCAGAATGATGAAGAAAAGTGATTGAAGTGACTTTGAACGTGGCATGGTTGTTGGTGCCAGACGGGCTGGTCTGAGTATTTACTGGGATTTTCAGCACAGCCATCTCTAGGGTTTACACAGGATGGTCCCAAAAAGAGCAAATATCCAGTGAGCCAAAATGCCTTGTTGATGCCAGAGGTCAGAGGAGAATGGCCAGACTGGTTCAAGATGATAGAAAGGCAACAGAAAGTCAAATAAGCACTGGTTCCAACCAAGGTGTGCAGAAGAGCATCTCTGAAGCAACAACACCTTGTCCAACCTTGAAGCAGATGGGCTACAGCAGCAGAAGACCACACCAGGTGCCACTCCTGTCAGCTAACAACAGGAAACTGAGGCTACAATTCACACGGGTTTTCTCACCAAAACTGGACAATAGAAGATTGGAAAAACTCGTGATTGAAGACGGAGGGCAGAGTGGATTACCAGGGAGCAGACGAAGCAGGTGAGTCAGAGATGAGAAGGGTCGATACCAAGGAAATAGTCCGGAAACAAACACTGGAACGTCTAACATGAGGCAAAGAACAATCGGGCGAGGAGTGTGTGTGAAGCGTGTGTCTTTATAGTGACGGGTGAGCGGCGTTTGCCTGATGAGGTGGGCGTGATGGACCGGCAGGATTGGAAAACGAGTGGACAGGAGATAGGCTGGCAGGTAGGTGTGGTGACAAGGCAGGGTGGATGGAAAATTACCGAATGGGCTGAGGAGATGGCAGGTATGGAGGACGAAAAGTGCCCAATTCAGCATGTTTAGTAACTTGACAAGGGCCAGGTATCAAAGCACTAACTTTCCGATCAGTAGATGACCGCTCTGCCTCCTGAGCTACAGCCGGAAACCAAAACCGTAAAGTTGGGGGCCAGAAAACAAAAACGATGATCTGAAAGAGGCTCAAGGAGTTCTACAAACTGTGAGGACTGGCAGAGTTGGTGATAACTCTACGTCATAGAGTCATACAGTGATTTTATTCATTGTTATTGTAATGAATTTGATTAAAGCAGCTTTAAAGGCTCCAACAATCAGTGATAACAATAAATGATTTCAGCCTCTGCAGCAGCTGATTCTGTTATTTCAGAAATAAGGGACACTGAATTAAATTATGAATCATGATAGATGACTTCATCATCTGAATCACGTCAAATTAGTACACAAGGAAATCAGTTGACGATCAGCTGATCCGTGGCACAGACAGCCTCATGTTTCCTGCCGCGAGCCTCCGCTGCGAGCTCCGTGACCGGTAGAAGTGATGTCACTCACCACGTCGTAGTGGCCGTGCTGCGCCGCCAGGTGGAGAGGAATCTGTCCTTCATCTGACTGGCCGTTGACAGACGAACCAGATTTCAGCAGCATCTTCATGGGCTCCGCCTTCCCTTGCCAGGCTGCGTAGTGCAGAGGCCGCATACCTGCACACACACACAAGAACACACACACAGTGTGAACACACAGGCCATATATCTGTCACAAAGTGAGACAAGTGTTGTTATTGATCCCAGCTTTATCTGTACCAAAACCTCACTCTTCCCTCTGATGTGTCATACACATGTTTTCTATATTTGTGTGCAGGTGTGTGTGTGCACACCCGATAATTATGCACATTAACACACCATAAATTACCTTTAATTAGGGAACCTACAGGTGCACAGAGTGTAAAATGACTGTACTGTGAATATTATAATGTTTTACATGACCATGTCACAGGTATGAGAGTGTCACCATTTATTATGTGGTCAATTTAACATCATTGTAGTCATGATGGTATTTTAAAACTCTTGCAGTTTTTAAACAAAAAGCCTATAAAATATATTAACACACATAAAGATAGACATAGATATATATGTTCCCTTCACCTTTGTGGTCTCTGATGTCGACAGCAGCCTGTGACTCCAGCAGCAGAGTGATGAGCTCCAGGTTCCCGTTGAGCGCCGCATGATGCAGCGGAGAAAACCTACAACACACACACACAGATTATGGTTACATTTGTGGATTACACTTACGCAGGTAGGGCTGCCCCCTGATAGTCGACCAAATGTTAGTCGGCCAGACTTCATCTGTCGCTTAATCGCAGGAAAAACAAAACAAACAAAAAAAAATGCTAAACTCTAAACGGAGCTGCGTCTTGTCAAAATAAATCCAAACCTAAATGACTGGACCATGTGTGAATTTAATATGAAAGAACAGACACAGGAAGTGTCCTCGTCAGGTTAATTTCCAGGGCTGGTACCTGCGGTTATTCCACAGGCTAGTTAATAACATGTCGGGCAGGAAATCCAAAGTGTGGGATCATTTTGAGAAGGTGAAGGACGAACCCAAGGTGATATGTAAACTCATCTTCATTGGTCGACTACAAACATGACGTATCATGTGAAACATGGAAGTAGCTACATGACCATTAGCCCACAGCGTCATTAACAGGCGGCTCGCTCAGTGTGTGACGTGCACTTGGAGATAAAATATAGGCCTATATTAATGAAGGTTCATTAGTACGGTTTGTATTTCTCTGTAATGTAGCACAGTGTTAACAATGTTACTGATACTATTCTTTCTCACACCTTCAACTCAAACCACCAAAATATATCATTTAATCATTACATTCATATCAGAAACATGCAGGAGACTAGTCCACTGATGGCCCTAAATGGCCAGTCTGCGTTTGAGGGGCGGGACTTAGTGAAGGGTCAGTTCACTTTTGGTTTGCTCCCAGGTGAAAGTCTGGACTGTGTTTGACCCACCCACCTCACCTCCCACCCATCCTATGCAGACTTTCTTGCTCTTGCTCAGCAGTTGCTCAGATACTGCGTGTGAGTATCTGACGTCAAGGGTCATGAACCAAGTGTCGGTATTTGACGAGTTGGGAGTGAGAACGAGCTGACTCTACATTTGTGTTCTGGCTCATTACATCATCCTTTATTTTAAAGTTTTCTGAATGACAGACACCCTCCAGATTTGCTGTTCTGACAGTGTTTGGACCACACACACACACACACACACACACACACACACACAGGTCAGTGATAATGGCAAAGCTTAGCATGACAAATAGCTTTAATAGCAGAGGATTAGGACCTCAGGGGGAGATTAATATATATGCAGAGGTTTAATATTATGTAAAGGATACTGTGTGTGTGTGTGTGTGTGTGTGTGTGTGTGTGTGTGTGTGTGTGTGTGTCCACAGGGTGTATGCTGAGTCGATGGGACTGACATGTCAGCCTTGATGGATAAACACGTGAAAGGGTAAAAGGAGGTGAAAGCATCCCATAACCTGAGGACACAGACATGGAAACACACACATTAAATCCGCTCTGTGTCCTCACACACACCTTCTATCTGACTCACATCAACATTGACATGTGTCTCCTTCCTCCTCGCTACAACTCCTCTTCTTCTCTCTGGATATTTGCTGTCAAACGCAGTCGCAGACAGTTTTATAAGGAGGTGATGAAATAAACTTGTGCAAACTTGTGACGCTGAATTTTGTGGTGAGGACACAGGAAATGTTTTCTTCTGATGACTCCTCCATGAAGGTCATATTTGTCCAGGTGTGTCTGCACAGTAGAACAGTGCACCACCACTTCAGAGTCGGATAAATCTTCCTGCAGGTCTTTTGCAGTCAAACAGCGGTTTTGATTTGCCTTTCTAACAATCCTACGAGCAGCTCTCTCTGAAAGCTTTAATCTTGACCTCCACAGTTCCTGTTAACTGCCATTTCTTACTGACATGACAAACTTTGCTATCTTCTTATAGTCTTCATCACCATCACCTGTCCTTTCCTAACGATGACTGCGAACAAGCTCATTAAGGTCTGAGACCCTGGGAAAAGTTGTCTGAGAGCTCAGATGTCTTGGGGTGCCCAAACTTTTGCACAGTGCTGCTTTAATTTTTATCACTCTAAACTTGTACAAAACAAAAAAATTACAGTAATCTTGCTTAAAATGTTGAAATGTTTAATCTTTAACTTGATGCCTTTTGCAGATCAGTTTGTCTTCTACTCACTTAACTATTCACAGTAAAATGAGTTGTGACCAGGTGTGCCCAAACTTTTGCATCCCACTGTATACTTTGCCATACGAACAGCTGAATCTGACGCTCAGCTGTAAAAAAAATATGGCCGTGTTTGCACTACAATATCATCAGCACAACATCTTTCACTACTTCTCCGCAACTACAGAGACAATTCTGCTATTCGGATGTGAATGCTGGACCCTGAAGCCCACCCTGCAGAAGTCCCTGGATGGATGCTACACCAGAATGCTGCATGCAGTGCTGAACACTAACCAGGGCGAACACATCACCATCAAGAAGTTCTATGGAGAGCAGCCTGGGGTGAGCAGGAAAACAGCATCAAGGAGACTGAGACTGGCCGCTCACTGCCACAGACACTGGAAGCTCCCAGTTGGTGTTGTGTGGACCCAAAACATTGACATTGTTCACAAGGACATCCCACGTCAACATGTGTGGACGTCCTAAAGAGAGATGCAGGAGCAGAAAGCAGTGGCGAGCCAGCCAGATGCACGGAGGATTGATGCAAGTCATGCGCACTTCATGGTGCTAACAGCGGCTGCCAAACATTTTGTGAATTTGCCCCTAAGTTTTCTGTAACCATGGAGACGGTGCCAGCTTTGCCACTGGCAAGTGGTGTGTGTGAGTGTCAGAATGTGAGCGACTGAGTCTCTGAGTGTGAATTATTTTGCGAGCAAGCTCTGGCTACTGGAGGACAATTCTGAATATAGGAGTCTCACTGGCTCTGAGTGTGTCTGTGAGTGTGGAGCAGCATACTGAAGAGCGCTGCACTCCCACAGTGACCTGCTCTACTTTATTCACTACAGACCATCCATCGCTCCTTCCCTCCTCTCCTCCTGCTCTCTGCTTGCACTTCGTCTTCTGTTCCCCTTGTCTTCTCTTGCTTCAGAATCATTACTGCAATGTGCGCATGCGCAACAGTCTCATCTCAGTAAGGCAAGTGAACTCAAACACATAATGCCACAACTTTTTTTGGTGCTTGATACAAACGGAAAACTCACCCGGTTCTCATTTTCAATGACTAATGGTACCAGCAAAGCCTTCCCCTTTAAGACAGGTCACATGTGTACGTGATGTAGTCTATTGACGTTTGTTTTTTGTACACAAGTATCGTAGCCGGGCAGTGAAATGCAGACTCTTAGGTAGTCACAGCAGTCGGCAAAAAAGTGTGTCGATAAGCTCAGGTTCCAGTTTACACAATGTACAGAGGGCTATGTTTTATGTTTACTGCACAGAAGAAATTGAGCATCTGTTTGATGCAACATTTTCAAGATGTTTAGCGACCATTCTTTGCCTCAGATTTGCCAGACTGTAAAATCGAGTTACCTGCGATGAGCCAGGCTAAAGCTAACTGAATTACCTTCAAGAGGTCGACCAGAGGTCTCCCAGTTTAGAGCCACAAGGGTGGAAAGTAGACTTGCACAAATTAATCAGCAGTGCTCAGAATCGGGCCGGTTTTCACATGATCGGCCATGACCTGCGACCGGCCGGTCAGTCTAAAATATGCCGATTTAAAACGCTGGTCAAATTCCCGGCGTGCCACATGATTGACATGGTGTAACATCAACAGCACACACATTCAGATTCAGAATACTTTATTAATCCCCGGGGGGAAATTGTTTTTGTTCCAATGCTCCGTGCAAAGTAGAAATAGAAATACAGCATGAATGGAAACAAGAGATAAAGATGAAGATATAAATAAAATACTAAAATAGACAATGAAATAAATAAAATAACATATTAAAGTAGACATTAAATTAAAAAAATACAATAAAATATTAAAGTAGACAATAAAATAAAAATAAATAATAAAATAGTAAAGTAGACAATCTGAAATATATACAATGAAATGGTTGTAGCGTTATAAATGAAATGAGAATGAGTAGTTATATTGTTTGTTTTGTTTTATAAATAGCCAGATGAGTCTGATCATCAGAGGGAGGAGTTGTACAGTTTAATGGCCACAGGTAAGAATGACTTCCTGCATTTTTTTCAAACCACCACAGCACACAAGATATTGCAATATTTTCTATCTTTGCTTTATTAGAACATTTTAACTGCCTTCCGTGCACATGTGCAACTCATGGCTTGGGCAATGTGAGGAAGTGAAACATGGGCGGTTAACTGTCCGTGTTAAACTGAACTGCAGAGCTCTCACTGCTGCACTGTGCCGCTTGAAACTGACGAGGGGCGTGTCCACGTGCCGAAGATGCGCATGTCCTGAAGGTCCTGAAGACCTGTGTGAATTTTCCACAGGAGATATTTTTACCTTTTTGTCTATTCAAGAAATTACCCACAAACGCTATACACCACAAATTATTATTTTATTTATCTATGTTTTTATTTATGTATGCCTTTTTTACTTATTTATTTTAATACTGTACCTGAAGTTATATTTGAGCAAAAAGGAAAATATTTCTTAACCTGTGTCACTGTTTGTTTGTTTGTTTTAGATGATTATTGAAAAGCTGGCTGTATCTTGGTTAAAATGTTCTGATAGAAAATATTGCAATATCTTGTGCGCTGTGGTGATTTGAAAAAAATGAAATCGGAATCGGCTGTCCAAACACTCTGCAAATCGGAAATCAGTATCGGCCCAAAAAATTGTAATCGGTGCAAGTCTAGTGGAAAGGTAATACTAACACTGATGTTAACCTACAAGAGAAGTCTTTCCATCTCACCACCTGTTGAGGTAAAACTATTCTGATCGTTGGGGCGACAACTTACAACCTCTGGTAAACCCCACTTGGTCTGGGTGGGTCATTGTTTTTATGAGGTTGTCAAAGTTTTGTGAGCAATTTGCCATCACAGCACACAGAGATAGGGCGATAACTCCCATATTATTGTGGGTCTTTTCCTTTTTTCTTTTAGAATTAGTGCAATCGTCTTCCTTAATGTCTGAGTCAAAAGTTTTAAGCAGTTCAGGGG